GTATTGTCACATTGTCACGATCTTCCACATCGAACGAGTCAATTATCTTAATGTTTCCTCTTGTCAATACGATACGTTAATATCAATTGATTCATTCAATCGGACTACAACGATACTTTTGATGATAAGCAATTAAATCATTAATCGCTTCATAACAAGGCGTCAGTTCATTCAACAAGGTTGAGCTGACTATAGCTTTTAACAAGTAGGTTCTTCAAACAAATCGTCAGTACGTAGTAAAGGGTAGCGATTCTTGATCATCAGTTTGTCCATCTTTCTTAACACGGATGTCATAGTATCTTAACTATAAGTTAATCTTAGAGAACACAATGGATTCTCTAAGCTGATCAAACAAGTCATTGATAAGAGGTAAAGGATAACGATTTTTTATTGTGACTTTGTTTAATTGATGGTAGTTGATACAGAGTCTCATCGATCCATCTTTATTCGCGTATGAATAGAACATGTACTCTCTCAAGTAGGAAATACTTAGTCAGATAATTCTTTATCAGGCAATCTTTACCGTTGAGTTTTCAACCTCAACGAAAGGTCTTTGGAACTTTGGATGTTTAGGGAAGGAATGGGTGGGTGTTGGTTTGGCCTAGATGAGGTGTAGGACATCAATGGTGTTGGTTTGGGCTTTAGGGAAGGGTGAAGGAGTGGATTCAACCCAAATAACATCGCCACACTTTGGCTTTATTCCCCTGATCGGTCTTTCCTTTTGTGGACAAAGGAAAGTCTTCGTTGATGCTCCCGGATATCTAACATCCTCCCCTTGTTCAAAAGAGTTTGTCCTTAAACTCAGCATTTCTTCGAGCTCAAAATAGGGGCTGGCTTTGAACATGGCATACTCCTTGATGTGTCCACTTGGTACTTGGAGTATGGTGAGCTGAAAATGCAGCCTTGGTACAACTATAGAACACTTGGAAAAAGTGTTCTTGCATTTTTGTTTTCTTTCTTGAAATCCCTGCATATACACAATAAGATTGGCACCAAAGGCCATTAGTAGTAACAAGGTTCCACAGTTTGTTCTCCTAAATGGGGGTTTGATTGGAGCATTCTCAAGAAGACATAGGGTTAAGTTTGGTTGAACCAAGGGATGGGAGAGTGGTTGTGAATATTTGGACCGAATGAGGATCATTTCCTTGGCCTTTTGAGGCATTGATGATTCATGTTTGATAACAATGGAGAGTAGGGCAGGGGCTTGTTCATGGATATGAGGATTTGATGGAATTTGAAGGATAAGAATGATGTTCTTTTTACCCACCAAAAATGAGAAGGTTTTACTGAAGCCATCATATAACACTCTTTGATCAAACAACCAGGGTCTTCCTAGAAGAATGTGGCAAGCATGAGTTTTTCTTCTTTTTCTCGTTCTTCCACAATTCTCATTGGTTTATTAACGACCATGAGCTTTTCTTGTTTGAAGAATAATGGTCTCTCATCTTCTTGAACTTGTTTTGCCTCAAAACTTCTTGTTCCACAACATCTTCAATCAAGGTCACTTTTCTCTTATTTGGACACATGATAGCATAATGTCTAACCTTTTGACAATTGTAACAACCAGGGCTTGTAGACCTGATTGTAGGCAGCTTAGGGAGTGGAGTTGGAGGTACGGTTCTGGTTGGGTTTTGGGTGGGAATAGGTTTAGGGTTCATTTGGGTAGTTGGTATTGGTATTGTTGGCGTGGTTTGTTGAGGGGCGAAGGCTGTAGTACTAAGAGATAGTTTGAGGGTTTCTAACAAAATACTCCCTCCGTCCCTGAGTATTTGTCCACTTTTATTTTTGCACACCATCCAATGCACTTCTTTAATCCATTTTATCTTGTAATTTGTATATTAAAAAATTATAAAAATTATATATTAATAATCTATATGTTAAGACGAATCAAACAAGATACTATTTTTAGGCTTACACATTGAGAGAATTTGATGAGTCAAAGTGCTTAGATGAACAGTTGCAAAAGTCAAAAGTGGACAAACACTCAGGGACGGACCAAGTATGAGGGCGGTTTGATGAAAAAGTTTGAATGGTTGAGAGGGCAGCGGTTATGGAGGTGTTTTGGTCATTGGAAGTGGAGGAGGGTCCAGGGATGCTTTGGGCAGTTTGTTGGAAGGCTATAGAGATAGGTTTTGGGGAGTTTTGGGGCAGGGGTGTTGAGAAGGTGTTGGGGTGAATGAGGGTAGTGACTAAGGAATGTAAAGGGCTGGTTTGAGTTGGGTTCTTAGGTAAAGGAGAAGGAGTTTGTTGAGAGACGTTTTGGACAGTATGATTGTAAGTTGAAGGGGGGAATTTAGAGGGAGTGTGGGTTGTGGACATGGCAGTGGCTTTTTGAATGTTATGGGAAGTATTAAGAGGGTGCAAGGTGATGGTTTTATAAGGGTATTGTACTGTGGGAATGGAGGTAGCTTGTGCAGCGTTTTGGGCAGTAAGTTTTGGTGTTAAAGACATGGTTTTAGAAGGGTTTTGGGGCAGGGGTATTGAATGGGTTTGAGGATTAGTTTGGGCAGTAGATAAGGAACAAAAGGAGGTGGTTTTTTATGGTGTTTGAAGTGTAGGTGTAGGGGAAGGAATGGAAATGGTTGTGGCAGCTTGTAAGGGGTTGTGTGTTGGGGTTTTTGGGAGGGTTACATGTACTGGTTCTTGTGGAGAAAATGGCATGGTTGCAGGAAATGTTTTGAAGGTGTTTTTGGGTACTGTTTGTTGGAAATCTCTGGGCAAGAACCTCTTGATCAAGAGCGTTCTCAACTTCTCCCAAGTTTGTACCTTGACTTTACCTTCACGCTTTCTCTTACACTATGTTTGGTTCAAAGAATTTGGTTGGAAAAGAAAAGAAAATGGTTTTCCCTCATTTTCCACGCCAAAATGGGAGGAATTTGGTTTTCCTTCCTCTTAGTACATTTTGCCTTCTCTTTTTCTTTTCCTTCCACTTTTCTTTTCTTTTCCTATCTAACCAAACAAGAAAAATATTTTGCTTCTCATTTTCTTTTTTTTCCCTCTCAAATTCCTTGAACCAAACATAGTATTAATGGTGACACTAGTCCACCAAGTGGAGGCATGTCTTTGGAACCGAGATGCCACTAGCTTGACCATTTTACCTTCAGGCACATCTTTGAATGTTAAGATATTCTCAACCTTCTTTAACCACCGTAAGAACTTCTCCGGATCATTTCTTCCTTCAAACATGGGGATATCCACTGAATTTGTGAACTCTCCAATCTTCTTCATCAAAAAATCAAGCTCCTTCTTTAGTTTCTTTTGATCAGCAGCTAGATCTTCATGGGACATGTATTGGATGGTGTGAGACATGTCTTGGTGGCTTTGAAAGGTTAGGAATAAGGGAGGGCAGTAGCTATGGCTTACCTGATCAAAAGGGAAAAGAGGTGTTGTAGGGGCTGGTTTTTGGGCAGCAAGGAATGAAGGAAGAGAGATGGTAGGTTGGGGAGAGATTGTTGGGTGGTTTGGCTGAACCAAATGTTAGGGGTGGTTGGTTGGCTTGGTTTTTTTGGGCGGTTTGGTGCAGGGTTGGCTGAAGTAAACAAGGTGGTGGTGGTGGGTTTTGGGTGCTTTTTTTGGCCAAAGTAGCAAGGTCGCCAAGCGGTTGGCAAAACTGCGGCCTTAACTTCGGATTGACGTATCTCACAAACCGTAACTCGGAATTGAGTGGAATTAAGATATAGAATTAGGAATTTGGCTTAAATAGCATCACACTATTTAAAAAAATATACTCAAAGAGTAATGTTTTGATTCATCAAAAAGCTGCCTTACAACATGGCCCTAAGGCCAAATTATATATGGAGGGGAAAGAGGGGAAAACACACTACAACTAATGTGACCTAAGGAAGCTTCCTAGCAAATATTCATCAGCTCCTCATGGCTTCTAGGTAGGGAGAAAATTCAGAGATGATGTGTGGTTGTGGAGCTCCTTTCTAAGCCTTTAGTGAATGGAAAATGTTTATGTGAATAATACCCATACTTTGATTGGTTTTTTTGGGTGATGTATTCTCGGCCAAGTGGGGGTAATAGAGAAGGAAGGCTGGCTGTTCTTTTGGAGGTATCTCTTGGGTGTTTATGTAGGGAATAAGAGAGAGTTGATTGAGTTAGTGGTGGGCTAGGGCTGTGCAGCTTTGTTGGGGAACAAAAGGGGGGACAGGGACAGGTCTCTTACATGGAATAAGAGAGGGGTTTTGGCTGGTAATGGTGGGTTTATTGTGTGAAATAAGGGAGTGGTTTTGGCCTGGTATCCTCGGCTCTCAAATGGGGGAATTGAAGTGTTTTGTTTGGTTGTGGTTTATGCAAAGAACTTCTGCCAGGGGTGTACTATTTCAAAGGAGGAGTGTTATGGGGTTCATGGGATGCCCTAGGTTCGGCCAAAGAAAGAAAGGAAAAAGGGAAATAACAACACACAAAATGTTTTGGTTTACACACTTTTATTTTTGGCCATAGGCTAAAAATAAGCGTAGGAAAACATTATTTTGAAAGGAATTAAATGACAAGGAACTTTGGATGTTTAGGGAAAGAATGGGTGGGTGTTGGTTCGGCCTAGGTGAGGTGTAGGACATCAATGGTGATGGTTTGGGCTTTAGGGAAGGGCGAACCAGGTTTTGCCACGTGTCTTCATTGGAGCGTAATTTTAGCCTAGCGTCCAACTCAAAGCGTCCAACTTGATCAGGCGTCCAAGTTGGACGCCTTAAGGCATTGGTCCGTTGGGCTTCGCGGCTGGTGCGAGATCTTGGCCGAATTTCACTCCTTTTCGGCCCGAACGTTGATTTTAACCTCCCGGAAGCTCGTTTAAGCCCGAATCTTGATCCTTGATGATTTATTCCCTTTTTCTCAAGTATTTGAACATAAAATGAATGATTTATGATGATTTCATGTGGAATCCCATTTTATGACTCTAAGAATGAAAATGAGAGTTTTATTTATTGAGATCACATTTTATAAGATGATTAAATACTATTTACGTGCAATAACGTTTAGAATATGATGTAAATGATAAGAACAAAATGGACTTATCAATCCTCTAGATGGACTCATAGAGAGGTTTATAACACAAAAACCAATATGAATGCCCATGGTCTTACCCAACTTAGGGCTTCTAAACCCTTGCAACAAGATACCAAAGTTGAACAGGAACTTACAACAGATTCCAAGGAAGCTTTTAGTGATGTGGATATGGTGATAACTCTGGATAAACATTAAGAAACCGACCCCATGATGGCACTTCCAATGGATAGCAATACACCAATGGTCACTCCTGCACCAATGGACACTTCCACTTCTCATACACCTCATGCTACTGCTCTTAGACAGTACCCATATGCTGCTGAGGATGACTTAAAACAGGTGGATGAGCAATCAGAAGCTAAGGGTATCACAAGCTGTTTTTATTTCAACACTACAAAAGACATCAAGGATGAGCACTCAACCCCTGATCTTGAAGTGGGTTCTGTGGCACCCCAATATGAATTGGAAAATCTGACTAAGGAAGCAGATTTGAAACATACACATGAACAATCAATTGAGGAAAGGATGGATGGTATGTCTGCACAAAATGCTAACTATGTAGGAAATGCAATCAACCTGGATGATTTTCCGGAACTCACAAGACATAATTTGGAGGAGGATGTAGACACTCCAACCAAGAAAGATGACACAACAGGGACTGACACTGATGGCTGAAGATACAACAATGGAAAACATAACACCAACCAATTCAGATGCCAACCCTGTCAACATTGGACCGATCCTCCACTCTTTTGAGCATGAAGGTCAACATTACGAAATTAGGTCTTACATTGAAGGACAAACGTCAAAACACAATGATGAAAACCTCACAGCTCATGAGTTCCAAGAAGTCCAGAATAGAAGAAGTAAAAAGGAAGCAAGCTATGCCAAGGACCATCAAAACCAGAAGCTATGATCCTAATCTCGAAGTCGGGACTGTTAGCGAGATCACGAGATACTGGCCCAGTCGCAAATCCACTACTATGGAGAAAATAGTTACTACCAAAAGTTATTCTGGACCCTTTTGGTATGTTGGGCCCATTGGTCCAATTGGCACTGATGGGAAAAGACCGAAGAAAATAATGCCCATAAATCTCTCTCTCGATCAACACCCGGGTTTTATAATCTGGGAATGATCTTTTCCATTCGGATTTCATTCAAATTCCTTTTTTTCATTCGTCTTTTCCTTTCTTGCAATTTTAGAGGGGCATTGGCCTAGTCCTCCCTTCTTTGTACTTTTCTTTATTTTGTATTTTAATAAAATATCTCCTTTCAATTATATATATATATATATATATATATATATATATATATATATATATATATTGAAATGAGATACAAAATGGGTACATGGTGGGGGTGGCCGAAAACCCATACACTCAAGCCACAAAACAAAGAAAAGATACAAGAAGTTACAAAAAGGAAAGGCTAAAGCATCTCGGTAGAAAATCATATGCAGAGTAGTCCCAAAAAACTTGCTTTGGAGATTTTGAGAAGACTCGGAAAATATTCTCATTTCGCTCATTCTCCATTCTCTATCGACATCTTGACCTCACTTATTTTTGAGAATGACATTTTGAAGTCGCATACCCTTCGTGAGGGTAACCATCCCGCAGATCTTATATATATATATATATATATATATATATATATATATATATATATATATATATATATATATATATATGTGGAAGGTTTCTTCAAAAATTTCCCATCAGTTAGCTTCAATATGGAAGACGAAAATTTGTTAGAAGGGAAGATGCATTTTTCTGCTGTTGGAAGATTCAAGAAGGAGGTACACCTTTCTTTAGTCAAAACTATGCTCATTAAACTTCAGTTTGGTTGGTTTAAGCTCAGAAAAATCAACCAAACAGACGTACTTTTTACATTCAAGGAAGAACAAGATTACATTCGATTCATTCAAAAAAAGATTTGGTTCATACACCAAACTTCCTTCTATGTATTTAAGTGGACTAAAGATTACAAAGCTAGTGAAGACTCCCCTCTGTTCCCGGTCTGGGTTTCCTTTAGTCAGCTTCCCCTCCACCTTATCCAATACCAAGCCTTGTACACCATATCGTGTCTTGTGGGTAAGCCTATCTTGATGGATGATTATACTAGCAACAGAGACAGAAGGGAAACAGCCAGATTATGTGTCGAACTTGACCTCTCTCTTCCCCCTCCACCTAAGGTGCATATTAGAATTGGTGGGAAAGACGTACTGATTGACTGCTGCTACGAAGAAAGGCGTTTATTCTGCAACATCTGTAAAAAGCTTGGTCATTTTTCAAGTTCCCAAAACTCTGCCCAACCTAAACCTACTGAAAGTTTTCCCTCCGGCAAAGGAAAGGAAAGCATCAAAGAAACTGAAGAATACAAATGGGAGAATGTTAAGAGAAAAAAGACAAAACATCTGAATGCTCCTGCAGGCCAACATCCACATCCTCATACTGTCTCCAAATCTGGCCCTACTGTTTTTGAATGGAAAAGAAAATATCCAGCTTCAAATAATTCCTTCCTTCTTTTGGACCTCATGGACACCTGCGCAGATACTACTTTTCAAGGTACCCCCTCTACCTCTTTCATTGGGCTTGATATTTCCTCCAACACCCCAAAGCCACAAGCTCCTAATAAGCCCATCTTCCCAAGCCTATCTGAAGCTAAGGCCTATGCCCTCAAATCCAAACCTCTTCCTAAGCCCAACCCTTTACCCCAATCCTCTCAGGCCATCTCTGTGAATCTTGACATCTCTCCAGAAAGGCCTAACTTTAAAGGTTCACAAGATGATTGCATCCACTGTAACTCTCCTAAAAAAGGTTTGGCTATGCTTCTAGAACATATTCACAACTCACCTCCAAAGGAAGCCACCCCTCCACTAGACAGCATAGGCTACCACTCAGATGGAGACTCGCGTGTTGACACCAGTGTGCTTGCACATAAACAATTTCACACTCCTGCACCAAACATAATCACAGTTTCAGTTCCAAAAAAACACCAACCCTTCCCTTCCCTCCCCTTCTCAAGCAGAGTTACCAGAAGCCACAAAGGGCATAATGACAACTTATTTTACTGTCTCAAATGATTTGTCTTTTTTGGAATGTTTGTGGAGTTAGGTCCTCTCTCAAAAGGATCAAATCTTTAAAAAAAATTCATAAATTCTAGTTTTTGGCTGTCATTGAACCTATGGTGTCTGCAGATAAGATTTCTACTTATAGCACTAAGATTGGGCTGAAGAATTTCATGGCCTTATCTAATAACAAGATTTGGATTTTTTGGAATCCAGATCTACTCTCTCTCACTTTGTCCAGTCAGGGTTCTCAATTCCTGAACTGTGACTTCCTCAACATATCTACCAACAGTGTGGTTAGGATTACCTCTGTTTATGGTAAACATTCTGGGCAGGAAAGGAAAGAACTCTGGGACAACCTATCATCCCTTCAAACATCTTGTCAGTGGGTGGTTGGTGGAGATTTCAACATCATTGCAGAATGGAATGAGCACTAGGGAAAAAATTACCTATACAGGTTGACATGGATGACTTTAAGGATTGCTGTGAGTCATGCAACCTTATTAACCCTACCTTCTCTGGTTCCCCCTTTACTTGGTCTGGTAATAGAAGTAATGAGATGGTTTTTAGGAGGCTAGACAGGGTTTTGATCAATTCTTCTTTGATGGATTTTTATGATGATACATACTCTAAATACATCAGTAAGGCCTCATCAGATCACTGCCCCATTCTTCTCATATGTAAAAAGGATAGTCAGACAGGGCCCAAACCTTTCAGGTTCCTTGATTGTTGGATTGAGCATGAAACTTTTCTCCCCACAGTTCAGAAATACGATACAGGCCAAGTGTGTGTGGTGGTTAGAAACAGTTAGTCAGTTAGCTAATAACGGGCCTTTATATACTTGTATTGATAAAGGAGATGAAATAAGAAGATATTTTTGGTCTTTCTCTTCCACATACTCTCGTTTCTCTCTCTAAAATCTCTGATCAGGGTCCCATCTCTGATCTTTTGCGTTCATCCTCGAGGATTCTTCTCCATTTCCGAATCCTCCTGCATTGAGCGTCATCAATGGTATCAGAGCACGATTTCATCCTGGCCAGAACACGGAATCAATCCAGATCTGAGCAAGAATCGAACATGGAGATCAACCAGAACAATCAACTGAAGATTATACTCGAGCAACAACTGGCGTCTCAAAATCAGAAGATCGAGGAGATTAGAGCGGAACAGCAGAATATGTTCGAAAAGATGATGGAGTTGCTTGAGAAATCAAGCCACAATGAAAACAGATCGTCTTCAGAGGTCATCGGCAATGAAGGAGGTGACAGAACTGCTTTTAAATTTCTGCCTAAACTTGAATTTCCCTCATTCAATGGTTCTAACCCTAGAAATTGGGTAAAGAAATGCACACGATATTTCAATCTGTGTAAGATACCTGAAAATCAGAAAATGGATGTGGCGTCAATCCATTTGACAGGGAAGGCTGAGGTGTGGTTTGCTAGTTATATTGCTGTCAAAAAAAGAGTAGAATGGGATGACTTTATCATTGATGTATGTGGAAGGTTCAAAGAAGAACTTGACAGTAAACTAGTGGAAGAATTCAATAAATTGAATCAAATAGGGACAATTGAGGAATATTTAGAGAGATTTGAAGAGCTGAAGTCATTAATGTTGCAGAAAACTCCAGTTTTACCTGATGATTATTTTGTGGATAGTTTTGTGGGAGGCCTGAAGCCACACCTGAAGGCATTTGTGAAGGCACTAAAACCTCTAACCATTGATGATGCTGTGCAATTTGCCAGATTACAGGAAGAATCTGTGCAAGCAGTTAGAGACACTCCTAAGGCGCAAGTAACACGAAACACAACTGGTCTTCTACCCACACCGAGGGGAAATACTAGTTTCAAAGGTGGTAGTGCATTCTCAGACTATAGGAGTCATGGCAATCCTCAAAACTCCACAACTGATAGTACTAGTTCATCAAGTAGTACAGCAAGGAGTTTTAGACCTACTAAGGTCTTTGTTGGGATTTTAAGCGCGTAAGATACCGAAAAATATTGAGAACACCAGAAAAATGAGAGAACAAACACAAGGAGAATATGAGAGAAAAATTATATCTTTACTATTTCAGAACGATACACAAAAAACTCTCCCTGTTTACAAGTGCTAAATACCAGACACTTATAAACAGACTTTTCACACCCTATACCCGGATGTATTTTTCCGAGTAACTAAAATCAGTTACTCCTTACACTCACTCACACAATGTTGGTGATATCTTGTGTAACACCTCTCTCTTTAACCTTCCTCTCCTTTTTTTCTTCCCTCTCCTATCCCCGTGTGTAAAACTCACACCCAAATATATAGAAAAAGATTCCTCTTATAAGAGGTGAAGGCCAAAAAAAAGCATCCCCATCCCATTACTTTCGTACACCACCAAAAACAAGGGAAGGAGACAATTAGCTCCCCTTCACATGCATGGCATCATGGGTCCACTTCACATGCATTATGTCTATGCATGCATATTCCTTTTTTTTCTTTTTCGTTTTAATTAATCAATCCCAACAAACTCCACCTTGATTAATTAATCAAACTGTTAGGCTCTTTTATAGTCTTTAAAATCCCTTACATTTACTAATCTTTGGGTCACCATTAGTGAGAATTTGGTTTAATTTAAGATCAAGAAAGAACGTTGACCATCCTAGAGGTTAGAGTGCAATTCTTGTGTTATTTTAGGTCCAATGGGTTAATTGTTAGAATCGGGCTAGACGACCCAAAGTGAAAATAATGAACCCGGCCCATTAGTTGAGTACAAAACTTAGTTACGTGAGAGAGAGATCAGTTACGGGAGAGAAATTTGGCGACCAGGCATAATCCGGCGAGCTAGACCTCGCGATCATCATCATTCATCGCACAATCACCAAGCGCTCCTCCCGATCAAGCGCTGTAACCGAATAGAGGAGTCATCACGTTCGTAGGATTTGATCCTCGAACGCTGTGCATAGGTACTTCGTTGTTTTTGTTTTCAAATTCGTGATACAGTTTTAATGCTTGAGGACTGTTTGAATTGTTGATTCGTAATTGAACGTGTGATTTCGTGCTATTCAAATCTGAGTCATAATCTCTTGTTTGGACAATATTTCCTGTGATCATGTGTTTAAATTGTGAATCGATTATCATGATCATGTCCCGAGAGTAATCCCTCTCTTGTCTGGTGGAAATTTAGGATCAGTTCTCAGGAATTTGTGTTCGTTGCAATGATTTGAGGTTTAGACA